GTGCAGCAGCAGGAGCCCTTTCAGGACCTCGAGGATGACGCAGGCATTCCTCAGCTCCCGGGGGCCCCCACGAGCGACGGCCTGGGGGCCCCGGGGGCCCCAGCAGCACAAGAGGGGGGCCCCCTGGACAGCAGCAGCTACAGGCCTTACGAAGTAGACCAGCAGCAGCAGCAGCAGCAGCACCAGCACCAGCACCCGCAGCAGCAGGAGTCCCACATGCATGGCACCATGACTGAAGAGGAAAGAACAGCACGCAAGATTTTCGTTGGCGGACTCAACAGAAACACCACAGGTGTGCTGCTGCTGCTGCTGCTGCTGCTGCTGCTGCTGCTGCTGCTGCTGCTGCTGCCGTTGCCGCTGCTGCTGTTGGCGTCGCTGCTGCTGCTGTTGCTGCTGCTGCTGGAGTTGCCGCTGCTGTTAGCTTTTTGGGTTGCGTTGTGTGCGGCAGCATGTGCTGCGGGGGTTGCTTTCGCCGCTGCAGGGCGAGGGTGTGGGTTTGAGGCGAGGGTTTAGGGTTCAGGGTTTAGGGTTTAGGGTTTAGGGTTTGCGCGCAGCTGAGTCTCTCCGGGAGTATTTTTCTTCTTTCGGTGGTGTTTATCACACGGAGGTTTTATTCGACAAGTTGACAGGTGTCTAAACACCCGAGCTCCGAGTTAGGGGTTTAGGGTTTAGGGTCTAGGGTCTAGGGTCTAGCGTCTAGGGTCTAGGGTTTAGGGTTTAGGGTTTAGGGTTTAGGGTTTAGGCTGTGCGCGCAGGCCGAAGCCGAGGGTTTGGATTTGTGACTTTTGAAGAACCAGAGACAATTAACAATGTGGTGGATAGACACCACACGATTGACGAGAGTCAAGTATGCGGGGGTTTAGGAATTAGGGTTTAGGGTTTAGGGTTTAGGGTTTAGGGTAGGGTTGCAGCAGCGCTGGAGGCCGAGGCAGCCCTAGCGGGGGACGGGTTGCTCACCGTGCAGCAGCAGCAGCAGCAGCAGCAGCAGCAGCAGCAACGGGAGACAGAAAGACAGACAGAAGCAGCTGCCTATACACCCCAAATGCATTCGTTTTGTTTTAAACGCTCTAAACAGGAACGGAGGAGAGAAAGCAGCAGCAGCAGCAGCAGCGGCAGCAGCAGCAGCAGCGGCAGCAGCAGCAGCAGCAACGGCATGAGCGGCAGCAGCAGCGAAGGCGAGAAAATCGTCACACTGGCAGCAGCAGCACCAGCACTGGTAGCAGCAGCAGCTGTAGCAGCAGCTATAGTAGCAGCAACAACTGCAGAATTAGTGGCAGCTGCAAATGCAGCAGCAGCAGCTGCAGATGCAGCAGCAGCAGCAGCATCAGTGGTAGCAGAACAGCCAATGCAGCTGCAG